ACACACACAGTCAGTCACAAACACATACACACACACACAGTCACAAACACATACACACACACACACACATACAGTCAGTTACAAACACATACACAGACACACAAACCCACACAGGTAACTGACAATCCCCTGATAAGACGGCGATATATCTGTGGGTCGCCCCGGCACGGCACGCCAAAAGTGCGACAACGTTAGACAGCCAGTATCCTGTTACAGAACACCTATTCAATCTTGCCTGGGTGATAAAAATCGGGACACCCTTGAGTTGTTTAGTTTTAATAAGACTTTTAAGGCACTTGCAACACAATAAGGTTACATACGTGTCGAAGATTAGACTTGTCAAAAGACTAACATACACACACACACAAAAAGAAAGAGGAGCAATAATAACCAATAAATGTTTGTAAGGAAGGATGGAGCTAACCACACTAGAGCACCCACCAACCACTCACAGCTTGCTTCTTTTTTTTTTGTAAACCCAGTATAGTATACTGAATACTGTCTCCTTAAAAAGATGTGGACGATGAGATTAAGAAGAAACCCCTTCCGCACCCACACGGCACCATTAATTAGTCGTGCTTCTCTCGTCTTATAATATGTTCTAGTCCACAACCCACCTACAAAACCGTTGACCTACTGTTTTGTCGCAGTGCGGAATGTACAGGGCTGAAGAAGAAGCAGGATGTACATGCGGGGTTCATCCATCCAACTATAAACGAGCTACCATCTCAGACGGGGCAGAAGGCCCCATCGTGTCGTCACCCACGACGGATAACCCATCTTCAGTGGATTAAAGTTCTGAATGAATCTCTCTCTCTCTCTCTCTCTCTCTCTCTCTCTCTCTCTCTCTCTCTCTCTCCCTCTCTCTCTCTCCCTCTCTCTCTCTCATGTTCACGTGCTCTTTCTCCCCCTTTCTCTTTTTTCTTTTAATTTTCCTCTTTCCAGCCTCTCTCAACCTTCCACATGTCACACAAAACCCAATCGGTATATTAATAGAGAAACATATTTGGTGTAACCTTTAACTAAGAAAATCCCTCTACTTTTCCCACCAGTAATCCCTCATCAGTCAGCAGGCGTGCTCCCCGTCTGACATGTCTCGCTGATGATAGAGCCAGAGGCAACAAATGACATCACGTGAGGAGGCTCTCGCTTCCGCTCTGAACACACCACATAAAGCCCCCACACCAACATTTCTAGACATAACAAATACTAAATAATACATAGTATGTGTCTATCGCTTATCCCAGCTCTGTGAGCTTTACAATCTATTTGACATAACGTCAGATACATGTGCATGTAATTAATCAGCTCTGTCTACATAATATGGTCGTTCAAATGATCCGCCTGTCATGGTTGGGGTCTTTATTGTTAGACTAAAGAACACTGAATATTCACTTTGTGGGAGTTCTCATAATACAACTGTGAAAATATCTGTGGAGATATGATGCAATAGAAAAGGCTAGGATTGGGGAGGGGGGGGGAACTTATGTTGCGTGGAGTGGTCTATATGTTTCCATCCCTGTCTGTTGGAGTTGAAAATGAACTCGCGATTCATCAGCTTTACAAATTTTACAAACTGTTGGAAAAGCTGTAGCACCCACATAAATTATTGAATTCTTGAACTTTTCACCTGCAGACACGATATATGGCTGGGAAAAAACCACAGACTTCCATAAAACTCTACGAGTGTTCCCATACTCATCCTCCATTTTTCTTCTCTATCTCACTCCTATGGGATTCCCTACTCTTGAGGCACAAAGGCGTTAGACATGCCATTGTGTCACCAGTCACCAGGAGTTCGTCTCCAGGCTACATAACATGCAACGTTCCATCCTTATCGAGAACGCTTTACTTTTCTTCGCTTCTATTTACCCTACACAAAGTGGGCAAAGACAATCAACAGGTAGACTTGGGATGAAAAATTTGAGCACGTCGCATGTGTCCACACCAAAATACGAAGAAGTAGTTTGAGACACTGCATTGAAATGAGCAAGCTACCTAAAGTTAAAGAAGGTCGTTTTGAAACCACACAAATGTTTGGTCGTAAAGAGGTCGAGTTAAACATCTACTCCTCCGAATCCATCAACTCCTCATTAAAAAAACCGTCTCCCCTTTAGTCTGCTCCATCTCCTGGTGCTCTTTTTCCTCCAACTCCTCTCATCATTTTACCCTCTTCTTTTTCGCTATCATAATCGCCTTCAGGTAATTAATTTCAGATGGTAAGTACATGGTAACGAATACACAGTGTCTAGTAAATGCTGTCAACACAGACTCTGAAGGTAAAAAGGCCCTTTTTGGGTCATAAAATCCCCACGCAGTATCAAAGTGAGATCGATCGGCAGGTAAAACGATGGGCCGGAATGCCTGAAGGCAGAATGAAAAAGACCGATGTGGGACACAGAATCCACACTCGTTTGTGTCCTTTCATGCCCGTAAAGAAATACCATCCTACACAAACAACCCGAAAAAGTATTGGACATGTCCTCCACAGTGTTATTTGCGGACCAACTGCCCACTAGAGACACGATGACGTCATACTGTCGGTCATCTTCTAATCGGATTAACCGCGTCACGCGGGGTTTTCACAGACCAACGAGTATGTTAACCAGATGGGTGAACGTAGACGGCAAAGAATAGCGCTGAGCTGATTTATTATTAATAACAGGCATTTTAATAGTTTTGTTTTAATTTAGAAAAATGATTATTGTACTGTCAACAGTAAAACACATGTTGAGAACTGTCTATATTTAAAAAGTTGATTTTTCTTTCAACAAAAACATTGGAAAAGTTCTAAGCGCATACTGTTTCACGAGTGTTCAAGCTGCGTCATGAAGAAACCCAACACAACCATTCTCTGGAAATCACACCATTTTGGACGTAAATACAGTGCTTTTCTATGGATTTATGTTGTGCTTGCACTGAGCCAAATTAAGGTAGGCGTTTGTTGTGAACACAACATTGTTTCTTGATTGTTTGTTTAGTTTTTAGACATTCCCTTTTAACAAACTGCTACCCTTCACTTTTGAATTTCCCCGATTTTGTCACTTTGACTACAACTTCAACATTGTGAGATAACGGCCGTAACAGACACATCCATTTCTAGACCTTCGACTGTCGAAAAAATGTCGCATTCTGTTCACGTCGTCGCGAGGCTTTGTTGTCAGAAAGTTCAGATTTATTTTAATGTAATTTCTCTGTGTAATGTTACGGGTATTGTACGAGGTCTGTTGCAGAAGTAAGCTTCCCCGTTCCGTAAAATCGACAATTTTTTTTTATATACATAACATTTGGTACTTATCTACGGAAGCATGTTTTTCTATTAAATATAATAACCGTTCATCTCAATGCTCTTTTCCATCCGATGTAGCTAGCGGTCAAACACTGTGACCATGTCTGCTTCAACCAGAGTCCTAATCGTTTGTTTCGAGCAAAATTCCTTCCTAGACATCAAATCGCTGCCTCTTTAGCCCTTCTTTGATTTCAAGAAAGGAATAAATGATCAATTTAAAGGCTTATGTTATTAAACATATTGCTGACAGAGCTAAAGAAGAACCTATTATTTTTACGTACCACACACAGGTTATGGTAGCCTCAGACAATCTACCCCAACTCCTTTTTTCTCAGCTAACGACAAGGAAGCTATTGTCTGACAAAAGAATATCTTACATCATATAATTATTTTTTCTGGCCATGCTTCACAGTCTACAACGGCTTCAGGAAAAGTGACGATCGCCCTTCAGAGCTATGTGTTTGAATACGACAACGACGGCGAAGATACTGGCGTTGAGATTTCCATTGCTCAGAACCTGCCCAATTCCAGAGAGTACCTAAAGGTAATTGAAGATACTTATTACTTGTCTAATTCGTTCTCTTCCTCTTTGCAGGCGCACTCTACGTCTGTCTGTTGATTTGCTTTCCTATGTGTACAGTATTGCCTTTTTTACTCACCCACCGCTTTCGTACCCCCCTGCCCCAACTCCAAGTTCCATTGTGTCTCATTAGGCGCGCGCACGCGCGCGTGTGTGTGTGGGGGTGGGTGGGTGGGTGGGGGGAACGTATAATAATAATATATACATCTTTACACACACGTTAACATACACAGAGAGTCTCTCTCTCTCTCTCTCTCTCTCTCTCTCTCTCTCTCTCACACACACACACACACACACAGAGACACACACACACATGCACACAGATGCACTCACATAGAGACATATACACACAAATACTCAAACACACACAGATATGCACATACACTCGTATACATGCTTATACACATGCTTTCAAACACGTGCTCAAAGGCATAAACTCACAGGTGTACACACAAACACATAGATCTAACCTTCCTTATGCACTAAAATTAACTGACGTTAAAGAGCATCATCTCAGTTCGCGCACCAAAAAAAAAAAAAAGAAAAAAAAGAGTAGTAGTAAAGACACCCTGAGAATATATCTGAAGAACGTCAACAGTCGATGTAGGAGAGCCTTGCTTTTGACACAACCACTTGGAGAGCAGCAGTGACAGTAGGCAGAAACTCATAATGAAGCTTCTCGAATTAGAATTAATGGTGAAACCGATAGAGAAGCCCACAATGCGTGCATCCATGAGTGAAAGTGTAATGATCAAAATACAGCAAACTTTTCTATACCAGAATTGGTCTCATTGGCTAATAGCAGAAGGTACCAGTTATCTTAACCTTTATTTCTTCTATTTCGCAAAAGAAATATTACCCTCTGCAGATGCATGGGTCCTCGTAGGCAACTGAGGAAGAACCATTAACTTCTATTGCATTTCTAAAAATAAATAAATAAATAGGATTAGGACTTAACTCCCACACTTTGGCCCAGCTATAGGTGATCTGCTAGTCTAGAAAAAAAGCACACGCTCAGAGTTCTAACTCTGCTATACGGAGGCCACTTGGGCCACTCTACCCCCCCCCCCCCACCCCACCAAACCGTTTAATCGATCTACTCCCTCCCACGGTTCCATTTAAAGGGGGAAAAAGAAGCGCAAGGGAAGGGGGTATGGACACAAAATAGTACAGGACAATTATCCGACAATTAGAGAGAGACAGAGAAAGAGAGAGAGAGAGGGAGAGAGAGAGAGAGAGAGAGAGAGAGAGAGAGAGAGAGAGAGAGAGAGAGAGAGAGAGAGAGAGAGAGAGAGAGAGAGAGAGAGAGAGAGACTCTGTTTGCGAGTTTCTTTTCATGCATCACTGCAAACAGTATCACAAACCCCGAAGAGCCCCAAATTAAAGTTAAAAGACACCCAAACAAAACACAGCAACTTCTCCACTAATTGGTTATGAGCTTTCTTTCGGTAAGGGGAAACAATTATTGAATATAAAATTATCATGTTTCATGAACATGTATTACCACGATTACCGTCCTTCATATTAGTCTGAACGCACTCTGTTTCCTACTGCGTTAGAAAAGAAACTCCGAGCACTGTACAATAATTCAAAAGTAGACAATGCACAGACACAAAGTATACATTCACTGAAGCGAAAATGAATGGTAATTATCACGATCTAAATAGATGTTTTCAATGAGTTTTATGACACTCAGTAGGCCTACTTTCTATTTCTCTCAGTTTTTGTGGGATGGAATTATCGCGAATTTATAAATGACTGTGAGACGTGTTGCAGTCATATTGAGCAAACAATTTCTGCAACGCGCAAATGCAAACGTTGTGCAAATTGGGGCGTAAAGGATGTCAAGCTTCAAGGCTTAGCTACCGCTCCATTTTGGACGCGGTTTTGAACGGCAAATGTGACACCGACCTAAGGACGATGCATAAATTTTAGTCTTGGTGATAAGTGAAAATCTGTTAAACAAAACTGGATTATCAAGTCACTAAAAGATTTGGTTAAAGAAAAAGAGAAGGACAGAGGTAGACAAACTAAAATAGATACATTTGCAAGCTTGTCTCTTTGCTCAGCCTTGTCGGCCTTTTTTTTGTTGAGGACGAAGCATGCATCTGGGAGGAATGAGTGTGCCTGTAAACATATCTGTTATAATGTAAAGTATAAACCAAATAAAAGAGGCATTCGTTTGAGATTATTATGGTTTTGCACGGTGTGATACTATGGTGGAGACAATTAGGCCATCAGTTCAGTCTCTGCGTAAGTTTTAGTCTAGACTAGTCCGATAATCTGCGATGGTGAATGGGAAAAAGAACATCAGACGTTTTCACAACATACTTGATAAAAGAAAAATCCTTATATTAGTCACAGCATGTTTTCAGCTCAGCCTTTGATTCAGCAACGTCGAAGGCCCCAATTTGTGGGATGCAATGCTCACTAAATCTAACCAAGAGTCAAACAAATAATATGATGATAGAGTTGAAAAAAAGACTCCCCTAGATGTCGCTGAAAGAAAACATACACCATGATGGCCTTAATAAAATCCACAGTCTCAATAGATGTAGATTTAGGAGTAATGTCCATCTTACATTGTCAGACCTATAAACCCAAATGGAATCTGGACGGGGTATACAGCATTAATGGCGACACTGAAGATACAGCAGACGACAGCAGCCAAGATGGCGGTTCACAGGATCCAGTTGACAACAAGACTGCCGACTTGATCTGGCCCTTCACGGAAGTCACCGAATGCAGAACATTACCTCAGTTTCGCTTCGTCCTGTGTTTGGATTATGAACACGAGTATGTACTTTCATTTTGTGATTTAACCCGTTCACTGCTTTGGCGACGTTGAGCCCATGTCTTGTCTGTGTGTTTTGAGGGACCGTACTACGGGCGACTCTTAACGTAGCCTTCATGTAATTTTAATGTGTAAAAGACAGATGATGCAGAATTTATTTAGCTTTAAATATGTATGTTACATAAGTGGGTACTGCAAGGCTAACCCCTTCGATGTCGGTCTCTCTACACGAATAAGCAAACTCCTGTGTTAAATACCCAATACATACATTGTATATACCCCATCTCCCGCACCACTCATCCCTTTCCCCCACCCATCCTCCCTTTCCCCCTCCTCCCATTCCCCACCCTTTCCCCAAATCCCCCCTCCTCCCAATTCCCCAACCCTCCTCCTACTCCCTACTCCAAACCCTCACCCCATTTCCGTTCCCCCACATTCCCAACTCTTCATCCAACTGATAACTCCCCCCCCCCCCCAATTGCCCACAGTTAGCAGTACCGACGCCTCTGTTAATACGTCACTGGCCAGGGTACTACCACTGCTGTGCCCACAATGAGCGCTATAAATTATGAAGTTTTTTTTCTAGTGCAAAATCTTACAATCATTAATTTTTAATAAACTATTATATGAAATATAAACACATTTGTTCATTTTTATATGTTTTGTTAATTTGCATACGCCATGCATAGGTAATCACAATGGGTTAATTCCAAAGACTACATTTTTGCAAGGTAACCCTAGCAAAATAATTCTAATAGAATGCAATCTACGCAATAATATTATTATGTAAGCATCTGTTCTGCCTTTAGTTTACTGACCTTATTGCTGCACATTTAGATACCTTTTCAAAAAATCACTGAGGGTAGGTATTAGGTCTTCTTGACTTAACCCAGCAAGTTCGAGTGGCCGAGAGAGAAAAAAACAACAAACAAATCTCACAAAACCCCAACAGTTTGAGAGTCTGCAGGGGGAGCAACGACGATACCGAACTTCTAAAATAAAAAAAAATAATAAAAAAGCAGCCCACAAAGAATTATATTTATTTCTATCATCATCATCATCATCATCATCATCATCATCATCATCATCATCATCATCATCATCATCATCATCATCATCATCATCATCAAGGCTGACAAGGGAGTTCCGTTGCGTGCAATTAGATGGATCCATGGTTTCATGAGAAACAGACAAGCCTGTGCTCGCCTGAATGGAGAAACAAGCAAGAGCCAGAATTTCAAGCAAAGGCTTCCCCAAGGAGTTGTACTATCACCGCTGCTGTTTATATTCTTCATAAACAACCTTGCAGAATCCCTTCAAAACCCTGACTCATAATAACTAACATCCGTCAAGTTGATCTACTCTATGTTCGCTGATGACTGCACAATATTGGCAAGTCACGCAAAGAGAGAAAAGGCAAATGTAGCGACACAGTTGATTGTGGGCATGGTTGTGAAATGGAGCAATGAATGGAAACTTACCTTGAATGCAACCAAGAGAGAGGTGTGCTTCTTCTCCACATGGGTGAAGGAGGCAACGTGGCAACCAGTAATTCAGATCAAAGGGAAAAAGATACTATTCAACCCCACTCCACGCCTGGGCGTCTATCTGGATAGAGAGCTAACCTTCAACAAGCACATTGAGGAAGTGTCCAAAAGTGCAACCTCAAAAATGAAGGTGATCGGTGCTGTCAGCAACTCAAAATGGGGCAAGGAGTCGCTCAAGAAGGTATATCAGATGTTTGTGAAAAGCAAGATGGATTATGCTGGCCCAGCGTGGCAGCCTTGGCTGAGTGAGACTAGTGCAAAGGCCCTGGACAGAATACAAAACAAAGGCCTCCACCTTGTATCAGGTCAGCTGAAAATAACACCAACAGAAGCGCTGCGCTATGAGACCAAAACTGCGCACTACACCACCTGTACAGAACGATCATGCCTCAGGTCTGTAGAGATGGCAACGAGATTGCCGGACAACCATCCTAGAAAGAAAGCCTTTGATCAAGCAGTCAAGCCTAAAACAGCAGGAAAAGTTGGTTTCGGATGGGCACCGATCTAGCAGACCACCTCCCCTCTGAAGCAGAGAATCGATGGCCGATCAATCTGGTGAGAGCTTGTCAATAGGAGACCCATGGCGAAATCGAAATCCGGACAGAACTGAGAGGAGTGAAGAACAACGGTGGTGATCCTGTAAAGGCACGTGAAGCTGCAGAGGATGTGATCAAAGAGGTTGGTGCCGATGTGACAATTTTCACCGATGGATCGGCTGTCGCAGGATACCACGAAGGTGGAGCAGCAGCAGGGGTGATAATGAATGATGAACCACAACGAATAGAATAATTAAAACTAAAGGTGCATTCCTTACATCATCTTATGACGAGGAATGCCAGGCAATGATGTCTGCTGCACAATGGATTGCTGATAATTGCCACAGTAGAACCGATGTGCTGATCTTGACTGACAGTCAATCCCTTTGCAAGGGACTGCAAGGCAACAGCTCAGACATAAATGATTTGCGCTGCAAGTTCCGTGAAGCCACAGCCACAATAAAAATCCAGTGGATTCCAAGCCACGTTGGAATCGAAGGAAATGAGGCAGCAGACCAAGCTGCTAATGAAGCCAGAGAGATTGAAGGAGACAGACGACCAACAACATACAGAGGAGTCTTTCCAATGATCAAGAATGAAATCAGAGACCCACCATGCAGAGCTAAGTACCAGCACCTGGAAGGTGTGTATTCTGGGTACTCCAATAAGCGGGAACAAAATATCACATGTCGCTTGGACCAGGTTGAGCTAGTGAGACTGCGGTCGGACCATCAAAGGAGCTTGAGATGGTATAAGAACTTTGTAAATGAAGAGCTCAGCCCACGTAGCCGAAGACGCGACCATGAAAAGGATGATGTCAAACATATGTTTGAATGTCCAGGAACAATGGCAATTCGAATGGAGTTATTTGGGCGAGTGGAGCTGCCGCTAAGCGTATTGACAAAGGAGCCGAAAAAGAGCCTCGCTCTCTATCGAAGATTTCTTTGTGGAGTCCGCCAGGCCCATTAAGGAAACAAACAAAAATCATCATCATCATCATCATCATCAACAACAACAACAGCAGCAGCAACAACAACAACAACAACAGCAACAGCAACAACAACAACAACACAATAACAATAATAATGATAATATAATAATAATAATAATAATAATAATAATAATAATAATAATAATAATAATAATAATAATAATAATAAATATATAAATATATAAATATATAAATAAATTAATAATTATAAAAACAGGGCTCTGCTGAACATTGTGATTCGAACTGCACCGAACAGAAGTCAGAAAACGATACCTCTGGGTAATAGATCTCTCTCGGTCTGTTTTTCCCAGCACAGTTGGTTTCGTTGTTTTACTGAGGGTTAAAAAAAAAATGAATCCATGTTTTTCATTCTTCCTGTACGTCTGGCGCAGTTTGTCTCACATCGTTCAGCATGCAAGATTCATATTATTCTTTTGAAAACAGAAAAGCAACAAACAAACAAACGAACACACAAACACACAAACAAACAAACAAACAAACAAACCATTAAAAAACCCCAGAAACCATACTACATTGGTGAACCTGCAAACACGTCGACGCGTACATGCATACGAAAACGTGCTCACGTGAGAGAGAGAGAGAGAGAGAGAGAGAGAGAGAGAGAGAGAGAGAGAGAGAGAAAGAGAGAGAGAGATAGAGAGAGAGAGAGACGGGTGGGGGGGAGGTGGGATGCGAGTGGAAGAATGAACCGGTTAGATATTAATCAGAAAACTCACACTTACTGTGCCTTTACTTGATGTTCTCAGCAAGGACCATGACAGACCGTGCTCTTTAGCGCGCGTGCAGACAGAGAGCATGACCGCAGACTTGGGGCGTATACCAGGTCACCTGCTCGGCCGGGAGACTGTGACCTTCAGCAACCTTCTTGGAGTCAGACAAAATCTGGACGTCATCCCGAATCCGTTGACGCTGGAATTTCCGAGTTGGGAGGTGTGGAAGATTTCTTGAAAATGGGTTGCTCTTTGCTGTTGTGTGTAAATTGTGGAGGGTGAAATATGTTCAGTTTTTTAATGCTATTAGTATACCTATAACGGTCTTATTCAGGTCGATGTGTAAGTGTATAAGGAATGGCTTTTTATTTTACTGTACTTAATTCTATTAAAATTCGTTTACTTTTACGTATTTTTATGTGTTTCATTGTTGTTTTTTCTTTGGGGGTGAAAAAGATTGGGGGGGGGGGGGGGGGGCGGTCGTGTGCTTAGAGAATACAGCTTTTTAGAGACAGTCAGGAACGTGAGTGCAATGTATTTAATGTGCATAATCAATGTGTGTTCTTGAGTAAGACGCGGTAACCTGTTACTACAACCCATTAAACATCTTTGTATCGTTAGGAATGAAATCACGCTCGGGTATTATGTATTATATATTTTTTTTAGCGTAACAGTACATGTAATTTTAAGTAGATCTGTACATGCATCGTATATTCTATACTTTTGTTTCTCAAATTTCCTCACAGAGATACACATGTTAGTTCCTTTTCCCCAGTGTGTTAAAGTTATGCGTTCGCTCTCTATTCAAATATAACCCCTGTTAACTACACTGATCTAGTGGGTTCTCCCTTAGCTCAGTTAGTATCACGCTGGAAGGTGGAGCACACAATACAGGTTCGAATCCCAGACAGAGAGTTTTTTTATTATCTCATGTTATTTTGTGGAATTTTCAAGCTCCACAATCTATTTGGCTAGGTCATTTCGGAGACGGACCATAAATTTTGGGGGTCTCCCCGCGAAAAACCTAATACTGCTGATCAGGACATACACTTACTAACCGGTGTAGCAGCAAATACACCAGAGGCTCACACAAAGACATAATGTTTAATAAGGAATGATATTTCAAATGTATCACAGTTAAACAAGCGTACGTTTTGATATGACAGTTCAACAGGCGTACGTTTAGATAGTACAACAGGCGTAGATAGTTCAACAGGCGTACGTTTACATATTATTATGACAGTTCAACAGGCGTACGTTTACATATGACAGTTCAATAGGGGTACGTTTAGATATGACAGTTCAACAGGCGTACGTTTACATATGACAGTTCAACAGGCGTACGTTTATATATGATAGTTCAACAGGGTTAGGTTTAGATATGACAGTTTAGATAATTATATGACAGTTCAACAGGGGTACGTTTAGATATGACAGTTCAACAGGTGTGGGTTTAGAATATGACAATTCAACAGGCGTACGTTTATATTTAAACATTGATATTTTTGTTGTTGTTTTCAACAGGGTCCAGTTCATCTGTCCGTGTTTGTGAAGTGCTGTGGTCTGCGCCCGAGTGCCGACAACCCATGTGAGGAGAAACTGAGCACTATCATCACCACATGGCCTCAGTCTCTCCGGCTGGGCACACAGACCAGGCGATACAGTCTAGAGGGCAAGGCCAGGTCCGTGTATATTATTAGCCAGTGTTTGGCGGGTGCTCTGGTGTGATTTTCTCTTTTATCGTTCTGATCTCTCCTCCTTCCTTTTTTTGAGTTTGTTACTCTCTTGTAACGCCTCTAATCTTCGGCACGTTGTATATGATGACCTCATTGTGTTGCAAATGCGTAAAACTCTTACTAAAACTAAACTAAGAACATTATTAATTCTTACAAGTTATAAGCTTATACCCTGCTTTGTCGCGGTGTGTTATTTCTAGATATAATATTATGTATACGCAAAGATCGTAGATAACAAGATAGTTCACTCAGCCAAAAAAGTGTCCGCGGAAGTCCGCGCACTGGTTCAGATGGCGCTACAGTCTTTGTTTTGAAGCTCTCTTTCGTTTCTTATGAAGAACAATAGGAATAGCACTGTTTGTTAGTTTCACTTTCATTATTTTTCATACAAGTAGGGTAACTCTGATCCCAAAAACCGCACTTTTTCGAAGAGGGCGCCACCGAATTTTGAGGACAGTTTATTTAATTGCCTCAAAGAGAGTAGTGAACTATCTTGTTAAACACGATCTTTGGCATACGTTAGCATTTTGCGCTTACGAAGAGAGGCTTCAGGCTGCATGCATGAATTACACACCGATTTTTTCAAATTCTCAGAAAAGAAGAAAGATTTGATATATGAGGGCACAGGCGAGCTGAAATGAGGAAAAGACAAACAAAACAAAACAAAACAAAACCCAAAACAAAATTAATGCAGGATCTCAAGCCACTTGTCATGGCGACTTCCACGTGGATGTCATGGTTGTCTTTGTTACTGATCTTGCGGCCCGGGGGGGGGGGGATGTTGCTGCTGCCGTTTTTTTTATCGTGTCAGTACGACTGATTGTGTTGGTAGTGGTGAAGGTGTTGCTTGGTGGTAGTGCTGATGATAGTGATGGTGATAGCAGTAATGGGGCTTGTGCTGCTGATGGTGATAGTGACTGTAATGATGATGGTGACTGGGATGGTGATGGTATTGATGATGTTCTTCGTGATGTTGCCGATGACGGCGCTAGTGACAGAGCTGATGCCTGACGTTGCGCAGAGCGAGTTAATTTCAATTCGATTAGTGCCCACAGTTACACCCAATCTTCGAAATTTAGCACTGGAAACCTCAAAAACGCCATGCCACCCACGTTCAAAAAAGAAAAGAAAAGATGCAAGCAAATGTATTTTACTTTTTGCTTTAGATTCTAGTAAGCGTATTAGGGCGCTTGCAACACAACTAGATCAAACAAGTGCCAATCGAATTTCTAATAAATTAAGATAACGCAGGAACCTCAGCTTTACATTTTATTCAGGCGCGAATGTTACTGCTATCACTACACGCATTGATTGGATACTTTTCCACTCATAATCTAGAGCTTTTCGTCATTTATATACTGCAACACAGTTTCTTAATTATAATAATAATAAATAGCATTTATTGTATCGCGTACACTCCAGCTTGACAGCAAGCTCAATGCTCTTTACACTATGTTACTATTACCACAACAGACCCGTGAAAACTAAGAAACATTATTGGTTTCCTGGAAAGTAACCCGGGTATTGCGCAAGCAGTTGATTAAGCGCTCAAACACTAACAAACTGACAATATCTTTCGTCGTCTGTAGCCTGGTAAACATATCCAGCAGTCTGAATTGAGGAAAATTCGTGTAGTGTCCTTCCCAAGAACACAGCGTTGGGCCGCTGACGGGATTCGAGCCCACGACCTTACGGTCACCGACACCATATCTAAAAGCTGTCTTACGTTACAGGATAGGCCTAATAAAAGATCAGCTGCTATGTTAGCATGAACTCATTTAGTATAAAAGACACATTTAGGACATATAAGACTGTTGAATGCATTGTTTACTGTTATGTGCCGATTCATCTTACACAAACCATGCTGGTTTGTTGTTGTTGTTGCTGTTGTTGTTGTTGTTATTTTAATACCTGTGTTTTATTGCTACAACAGCCTAACGATGTCAATGAATGCTGTGTGTGACCCAAACTATTTCGGACCATCATGTGACGTTTACTGTAAGATTGAGAACCCGAGCAAGGAGCACACGTTCTGTAATGCCACGACAGGGCGGATAGAATGTCTCAAGGGTAAGTTCACTTGTAACCATATATTTGGATGTATCCTAGACCGCCCACTGTCATGGCCACCGCTCATTGAGGTCAATAAAAATCTTCGCTGCGAAGCGTGTGCATCATGCGCCCAAATGAAGGGCAAAAACACCAGTCTCGTTGTAGTCGAGTGTTCGTGCAACCCCCC